CCAGTTTGAAAGTCTGAAAGTCTGAAACTTCCACAGAAGCTGATTTCACATCCTCCTGCTTTTGTCACTGCTGACCCCAGTTCAGGGCATCCACAGAGCCGGTGTCAGGATGGTGGGTTTTGAGGGAGGACTCAGGCGCGGAGATGACGGAAAAACAGGGTTTATTGTAACAAAAGGTGGAAGTCCAGACAAAGTACAAAAACACGGCTGTGGCAAAACTATGACAAAGTAACAAAATAAAGATTAACATGACTGTGGCAAAACATGGCTATGGCAAAAATCAAACCTGACGTGGGGAGACGAAAGACGAGGGACGAGAGACGCAACAAGAAGGACGAAAACGAACTGGCACAGGACAAGGGGAAACGAGGACTATTTAAACACATGAGGGAGGGGAACCCCAGGTGAACACAACAGGTAATCAAGACATGACGACACACCAGACATTCCCCCAAACGTGACAGCCGGGCTCTGCCTTTTGCTGCCGGGGGGCTGGGGGTTCAAATCCCTCCCTCAGTGGCTTTGGGGTTTAGTTTAGTTTAGTTTAGTTTTATTAGGATCCCCATTAGCTGCCAAATAAATGGCCACTAGTCTTCCTGGGGTCCTCACATGTAGAAATGATATTACATTATTAACAGATCATACAAATAAAAATAAAAATCACAGTAGGAAATAATAAAAACATAAACAATAGTAGACTATACAACATATACACACAGGTCAGTTCATGTTATCATTTGCAGTAGTTCTGAAGACACAATATTTTTGAAGTTTGTTCTGGGTCGGGCCTCCTCTTCTCCTGCTGGGCGGCGGCTGTGTGAAAAAAACCCCGACCGCTTTTCTGTGGAAGCCGGCGCTCTGCAAACGGGCTATTAACCGTCTGCAGACGACCGTCTTCTTCTGCTCAACCACACGTTTAGCGATCGCTCCTACAAAGGATGCGGTTCCCCGCACACTGCTGCTGAGGTCATTATTTGCTGTGGAAGGGGCCGGTTAGGAGAATAGAGTTCACTGATGCTGGTTAGCTCCTGTCTTTGATGTGTGTGTGTGCGTGTGTGTGTGTGTGTGTGCGTGTGTGTGTGTGTGTGTGTGTGTGTGTGTGAATGTATATGTGTGTGTGTTTGTGTGTGTGCGTGTTTGTGCACGTGTATGTGTGTGCATGTGTGTGTGTGTGTGAAATTAATCTTTCAAACACTTAATTAAACTCTATACATATTATTATGTTAAATAGTGTATGTTAAATAGGTTTGTACAATAAGTCCAAACAAGTTTAACCAAAAAATATTTATTTCTCACAATTATGAAGGGTGGAGGGTTAGGGTCAGGGTTTGGGTTAGGGTCATTAATGTGGGCCACCAGTCACGATATCATCAGTAACAGGTCAGTTTGAAATGAAAGACACTAACCTGTCAAAATTAATTTAAATTTTGGGTTCTTTTTTTTTATCCTTGTGGTATCCAAAATGGTATCGAGTATCGAGTTGAAAATTTTTGTATCGTGACAACCCTATGTGTGTGTGTGTGCGTGTGTGTGTGTGTGCGTGTGCGCGTGTGTGCGCGTGTGTGTGTGTGTGTGTGTGTGCTTGCGCGTGTGTGTGTGTGTGTGTTTTGGGCAGCTCTCAGCTCTCCAGCAGTGCCCTGCAGGCTGGATCTTTCTGATGTGGTGCGTCTCATCCACATGACTGAAACTCTCCCTTTTGTGTCGTGTGTTTGTTTCTGCAGCCGACTTCTCCTTACTGTTGTCTGTATTTAGTCCTGATTGTGGTTTCGCTGACTCCCGTTTGTGTGTGCAGGTGCGCTGCGGGCTTCCTGGGCGAATACTGCCAGCACCCCGACCCCTGCAAACCGGGCTACTGCCAGAATGGAGGGACCTGCTCCGTTTCCATGTCGACCGGGGGGCCCGTGCTGAACAGCGTTAGCTGCACATGCCCCCTGGGCTACACCGGACAGCACTGCCAGACCCCCCAGAACTCCACCTGCTTCCCCAACAACCCCTGCCTCAACCGGGGCGTCTGCACCCTGCTGTCCCTCGATAAGTACAAGTGCGAGTGCCCCAGAGGGTGGACAGGTGAGGCCACGCCCGGGATTTTGTGTTGTTTTGGTTTCCAGCCTCAGGAGGATAGACAGATGCGAATTAGCAACTATGCTAGAATCTGGCTCATTTACAATCTGTATGAGATTGTTCATTAATGTGCACTGTCCTGATTAAATAAATAAAAAAATAAAAGAACTGCCAGACGCACGATAAAAGCCACGACTTTGTTCAAAACATGAAGTTTTTTGGTCTTTTTACGTCAGAAAAGTGGAGACACTTTAGATAAAAAAGCAACAGATACTCTTTTGATGTGGATTTAGAAAAAGCAGTTCAAACGTAGTTTTGTGTAATGACTTAGCTGATTTGTTTATGAGAACTAGGATGTCTCAATCCAGCTTTTTGCACTTTAAAACCTTTTATCATTGTTTTACTTACCTGGTGAGGCCACGCCCTAAAAGGACTGCCAGACGCGCGATAAAAGCCACGACTTTGTCCAAAACATGATGTTTTTGGTCTTTTTACGTCAGCAAAGTGGAGACACTTTAGATAAAAAAGCAACAGATACTTCTTTGATGTGGATTTAGAAAAAGCAGTTCAAACTTAGTTTTGTCTCATGACTTGGCTGATTTGTTAATGAGAACTAGGGATGTCCCGATCCAGCTTTTCGCACTTTTAAACCTTTTATCATTGTTTGACTAACCTGGGACCCCAGAAATACCTGCAAAAAAATATACTTACCTGCAGGAAAAAAACCCTACTTACGTATGGACCGGCAAAAAAGACAATACCAATACCGGCCTATCAGAGCATGTATTAAAGTTTAAAGTTATTTAGCCTACTTTCGTAGTTGTCAGACTCATGTTGAACAGGGATTTACTCTGATAAAAACTTAATGGTTAGGACACAGACCTGTGGGTTACAGATGCTAATGCTAATGTTAATGTGGGATCAGACTTTTAAAAAAACTGGATCTGCATTTTCTCCTGCCGATCGATACGCATTTTTTTGGAAATATCATATCCGGACAAGCCTAATGAGTATAGACTCCATCAGTGACAAATAAAAGTGATGTTTAATGTCCCTGATAAAGAGGGCTTTAACAATAACCAGTCATTTCCTCTGGGAGCTAGTTATTGGTGGTTATTGTGGAGCGTCTCAGCTGTCATTTTCCTCTTTATTAAACGACCCAAAGGGCTTTAATTAATCCCCCTTCTGTTTTTTAGGCCCGCGTTGTGAGCATGAGGACAGCTGCCTCTCGGGTCCGTGTGCCAACGGCGGCCGCTGCAGCTCGCCCTCCGGTGGTAGCTACTCCTGCTCCTGTTCCCCCGGTTACAGGGGTCCTCGCTGTCTCAACGACACGAACGAATGCGCAGAGCTGCCCTCGCTCTGCCAGAACGAGGGAGAGTGTCTCAACACGCTCGGGTCCTACAGGTGAGTCCTCACCGACCGGATATGAACACCGTGCTTCTGTTAAGACTTCCTGGATCAGTGGTCTGCCAAGCAGAGGGGGCCTTTTGATTGGATGGATGGATGGATGGATGGAGGGATGGATGGATAGAGGGATGGAGAGATGGATGGATGGATGGATGGATGGATGGATTGATGGATGGATGAAGAGATGGATGAAGAGATGGATGAAGAGATGGATGGATGGATGGATGGATGGATTGATGGATGGATGGAGGGAAGGATGGAGGGAGGG